TCACTTGGTCTGTTCAGCCTGGGGGAGACTGAGGGGAGACCTCACTGCAGTTACAACTTCCTCATGAGGGGAAGAGGAGGGACAGATGCTGATCTTTTCTCGGTGGTGACCAGTGACAGGACCCGAGGGAGTGGCCTGAAGTGGTGCTGGGGAGGTTTAGATTGAATATTAGGAAAGGTTTCTTCCCCCAGAGGGTGGTTGGGCACTGGAACAGGCTCCCCAGGGCAGTGGTCACAGCACCAGCCTGACAGAGCTCAATGCTCTCGGGCACATGGAGTGACATGAAGGGATGGTGCAGGGCCAGGTGCTGGACTTGATGATCCTTATGAGTCCCTTCCAACCCAGCACATTCTGTGATTCTGTGGTACTGGGCAATGCACAGGGGAAATTTCACTCTAAATAGTCTGAACTTCAGGACTGAGCTCTCCAGTTCAAGAAGAGCTGTAAATGAAGAAAATTGTTATGAGATCAAGTGTAAACGAAGAAAGTTGTAATGAGGATCTTTGTAAAATGGAGAGCCTGTATCTAAGGACTGGCAAAAAAAGAAATAGATACAGGGATTTAACCTAGGACAGAGGAAAAGTTATGCAAGATAAAAAAATAATATTGTCCTGTAAGGGGAAAAAAAAACCAACTGGAGAAACTTAAACACGAACAAGATACTAGAAGATGGTTCCTCATTTTTACAATGGTGAGATCCTTTTAAAGCTAGAACAAGAGGAGCAAAAAACTAAACTGCTTTTAGGATGAGATGTAAACATGTTCATGAAAACCATGATACCACATCATACCAGTGTAATCTGAACTGTCAGACTCAAGCTGCTCTTTTCAGTCCTGTGTTCACACGCACCTAGACAGACCCAGGCAAACATCCCTATCAAAAGCAATATATGAAGTGTAGTATCTGGTGGAATACCACATGCTGCACTTCAAAACCATATGGGATTTTTTGTTTTTCAGGTTAATAAAAAAAGTATTATTTTCTAAATTGTATGTCTCAGAACAACTCATTTCTATACTAATGACTCTTCTGACACAGTGCCACACAGGATCACTCCCCCTTTCAAAACTACTCACCTTCTCTTAAATGGACATGGTGCATAGACACCCTTGGCCAGAGAGCTTTGCACTCCCATGTCACACATCCCTAGCAGCAACCTGACATGTTCTTAAATCACCCTGCTCCTTCTTTTTCAATGTTGATACCAGCAGCAATTGTACTTCTGATGCTTTATGAGATATTCCCTCCAGGTACTGGTTATTTCTGCAACTCTCTGTTATTCCAACACCAGCATTTTTCTGGGCAGTTTACTCTCCTGCAGATGATAACATCTTGTGGGATACTGTGCTGATGCAGATTTACTGCTTTATTTTTGAGAAAGGGACTTTCAGAAACCCAACTATTTAGATTTCTAAATATCCTGCACTGGTTGCTGTTGCTGCTCAGTTACAACACTACCATATACTGTGTTTTAGTAATTTGCTCAGGAATTAAGCAAAAAAGGCAAATTCCATACCTGCTTTTCAGAAAACCTGACAGGTTTATAATTTCTCATCACATATCCTGAGCCTATATCTCTTCAGCACAGTACAGAGACTTTGTAATTAAATAACAATTTTATAGCCAGCAAGAGGGATGGAAAATAGAGAAGCCAGAGAGCCAGTGATGCTCAAGCCTACTCTCAAGCGTGATTATCACTTTGTGGTGCAATGTGAAATACAGAAACAAAAAATTAGAAGTGTTTATTCAAGGTCTTAGGCCCAATGGAGAGTGGATTGTAACATACAAACCTGAATTTTTTTCAATTTCAAACTGAGTTCCTATTAAGGGAGAAGTATCCTTAAGCACTTCCTTACTGAAATGCTACTCACAGCTCCCTATTCCTCATCCCTGTGCTGAATGTGGAGAATTTGTTTTCTCAGTCTATATGCATTGCTCCCTTCTGCTTCCTAAGAAGATGCCTGAAAGTTTACCTGGCCCAGAAATGGCAAAGGACAAATTGAGCAACAATCATCAACACTCATGTGATTTTATTTACTGGAGGAAATAATTCACCGTAAATTATCTTGGAGGTGTGTTCAAACATTGACTTTCACAAATAGAACTGAAGAAAACCCTTGATGACTGACACACTTCCTTCTATTTAGTTACTCACTTGGGGTTTTTTCCCTAAGCAGTTCTGCTAAAGTTCTTTTGTGAAACATTACTGCACAAAAATGGAAACATTCCTGCTGCCCACAGACATTAGCACTGTTCCCATTACCAGAATTGTGTTACAATGAGCCTTACTGGCACTCAGGAATCCCTTCAATTGTACTATCCAAATTGCTCACTAAAGTTTCATCATGACTGAGCTGATTTACCAGCTTCCTGCTGCTATTCCACCCACACATTTCTGGATGTATGCTGCATTTTTTAATACTTTAATCTCTTGCACTCATTAACTGAGTCTACACTGAAAATAAATTAAAAAAAAAAAAAAAGAAAAAACACCAACAAATTAATGCCTCATACTCAAGAGAATAAAGAGATCCCATTTAGAGTAGGAAAAGTTTCTAAAGTTGGTGTCTCACGGCTAAGTCAAGACTAAAAGGGGATTTAAACATCATTATTTTTACTTGCACTGACCAAACATATTCAGCCAGTTCAGCCTGCAAACTGGTCAGTGTGAATCACTAGTGTGAGTATAACACATCTGAACAGTGCAAAAGCTCACAATTGTGAAGGGACAATTACTGTATCAAGATGATTTATGAATTGCTAAGAATTGTTTTTAACACCATAAATACAAAGGGAAATACAACTTGGATAATACTGATATTTACTTTAGAAGTGTAATCAGGATGGAAATGAATCCAAACCTTGCACATTTCTCTGCTGCACTGGACTCTGTGTCATACACACAAAAAGTTCAAACTTATTTCCCATACATTGAATATTCCATGGCAGCTCCAATGCACAGTGCTCCTCTGGGACCTTCTGCTGTGAACCTGGGCCTTCTTTTGTCAGCAGCCCAGCAATGCACACAGAGAGAAACAACACAAATTCAGACACAAGTTTTACAGAGCAGAAAACGGTTTGAGAGGGGTGTGTTCAGACTTGATCCACAAGGAAAGCATATCCACAAATGTGTTTTTGAGAACACCTGGCTTCCACTAAGGGGGAGATAGTTTCCTCCCTTCTATGTGTGCAAATTCAAAAGTGGAGTTAGGTAATAATGGAGTTACTTCCACTTCAGTTTGTAACAGTTTTTGACAGTCTTTGAGAGCAGGAAGTGAAAAGAAGTGGAAAATTCATCCAGTAAGGTTTTATAATTCTCTTGGATCAGATTTAAAAAAAATAATTCACAGTTTTAATTCTTCTTTTTAGAAGAAAAATATGACTTATCACATGTAGGTAACCAGTCTTTAAGTTAACAGTACTAAAAAAACCCCACCACAAACAGAAAGCATAGTTCACACAATTGGTCCCCTGGTTATAAAGTATGCATGGCTGCAGGCAACTCTTGAAGCAAAGTTAGAGATAGGATCAGGGAGAAAGTGTAAGGAGACAAGCATCTAAAGCACAGGTGTTTTCAGGCCATGAGCTGGTGTCCTTTCATTCTTTCCACGGTGAAACCATCTCAAACTCTTTCATTGCTTACGTGACATTGTTAGAGGAACCTGCAATGGCTGACAAATTTAAATGCCAGAGTTCTCTTTCAAACCTGAGATCTGCTTGGCAATGCTTCGGGAAGGTGATCACTGCCACAGACAAGGAGATTTATTCAAAACAAATGCAATTAATTAAATTCAAATGTTTGTCTTTACAGTAAGAAGGAATCCAAAGAAATCACATCTCACCATTTCTAACTCTGTCAATTACACAGTTAAATACAACACATGAATTCTGTAACCTCTCAGTAAAATGACCAGGTATTTATAAAAAAAAACCAACCCAACCATCAAATCAAGGGAAAAAAAAAACACCCTAAAACATACATAAAACCCATAAACAAACTGAAAAGACAGTTAACAGAGGGTTTCAAGCAGAGGAAGCATTTTTAAACTTTGTAAATATGGAAACATCAACAGTACCCTTAGTTACATAGGTAATAGATTTATATATATAATCTAATCCAGATTTAATAATTAAAAAAATATATTTAAGTCTTCCTCTTAAAAGACAACATAGAAATTTGACTCAAGTCCAAGACCTGCCTACATAGGATGACTTTTCAGCTAAGTTCTCTATCACAGACTTTTGGTCCATGGTCATTAACCAGCTCAAGGGATCCCACTGATTTTTTTGGGTAACACATCATTGTCCCTATGATATATGTCACCTTTGTTTCAAATACAGAGAAAAAAATTCTCACACACTGTCTACAGTGACAATGATAGAGATACATTCATCTTCTGTGCTTCTTGATAGAGCAAAAACTGCTGTTTTCCCTTAATCAATCGCCTCAGCATTTTCAGGAAAGCACTTTTAACAGTCACGTCCAGAATAGCTTTGGACACAGAAATATCTTGAACTCTTCATCTGGGTTAAGAGATGGGTAAACATGTAACAGAAGCTTGCAGCCTGACTTACTTCAAAAACCCAGCACGGTGCAAAGCGTGGCCTCATCTCCTCACCACCTGTGCCTGTGGGTAGTGGCTCATTCCAGACTGTCAGATTTCCCAAACCCAGAGCAGGGGTGAAGTGGAGCACAGCACAGGCAGCTGGGGCCCTCTGAGCCCCTGTGACACAGCTGTGCTGCTGGGCTCAGCTTGGCTGGGCAGAGCCAAAGGACGAGGATCAGACATGCAGCTTTCCTCAGATGAAGCCACGTGCTGTAACAGAATGTGCCTCCTCCCAGGAAACTTCACAGTGACAGAAGGGGTCCTGAAAAGTTCCTCATGTGTTTGTTAGTTACTGAAAGAAAAGAATGCTGGCAGAGACATTTTTGCCTTCACATGCATAGAAACAGTAAATTTTCAACCAGCCCATTTCATAGCACACTATCACAATCAGCCTCTTTTTCTTCACCACTGTATTTTATTTAAAATTACTTAGTTTTCAGAGCAACCAAACCAAATAACTCTCTCTTAGAAAGAAGTATGTTACAGCTAAGCAGATTTTCAAGCAGTTGACACTTACTGGCCATTTGCATATCCTGGAATTGATTTGTATCCCATCTCTAAAGGAGGTTTTACTTGAAAGGCAGTTCAAAAGATTTGGCCACAAGAAATCAATGGCAGTCAAGAACAGAATAAATCTAAAGAGCCCTTGCTCTACCAATTAAAAATATGAAGTTTAGACATAAAAATACAAAATTTGGAATGTTGCACTGTCACAGCTCTTTCATAAATTTAACACTTATGATTCTGGAAGAGAATTTTCACAAAATAAAAAGTAACACTGAGGCTTTAAGATGGCTCAGATTATTTGAGAACAGTAGGAAACTACAAACTTTTAAAAAATCCCAAAGGACTTAATCTAAAAGCACCACTGCCAGAAACGTGGCATTTGGAAAAACAATGGTTCAGTGCAAATACTTATAAGAAATGGAAAGATAAACACTCCAACCAACAGACAGTACTGTCTTGTTAGTGTCTGCTTCTGCTACCAGCTGCACTAAAAAGGAACCTTCTCATTTTATATTATGTTTCTCTTTAAATGTATTCTCACAAAACAAAAATTTTGGACAAAAACAGAACTAAAAGCCTGCTGATATTGCTAGTTTTTGAGAAAAGCAAAACACCTAATGACTGACTGATCAACTAAACCTGTATCACAAAATCAAAGCAGATAAATAATGTGTACCTTTTTATTTCTACACATGGGATTTCAGACCACTTTTCTCATGTTATCCAAATGGGAAGTTCTCCTACTGTACACATTATATAAAGTGAGAGAGGCAAGTGACTTCCCTGCCTAAAAGAAGCTGCTTTTCATGGACATGGCAAGCCAGTTCACAGCCACTTCCACACAAACACAGCCATAGGTAAACACAGTAGTTTGAATTCAACTCCACTGAGCAGCTTACATGTAAACAGAACCTTCCGAATCAAAACTAGCTTTAAAACAAACTCCAAATACTCAAACAAAAAAACCCAGAATACATGGTTTCATGTCATGCCCAAAGCTCTATCTTTGATAGATTCATTTTGATGCATAAAGAAAAAAGTGGAAAAGCTGGAATGTGGTAAACGCAGAATTCTGCATGTCTGATTTCTAGTGCCAAGAATTCGTTACAGCCTGAAATCCTCATGAGTAACGGTAAATGGCAGTAGGAGAAATATTAAAGTTCCTTTAATATTTCACTACACTGCTGTTTGGAAGGTATACGTGTTGAAATGGTGTCCCAGAACTATGTGTATGTTAACTTCATATAAAAACTCACCACATTTACAACCATATTTCAATTTAATTATTGTACACAGGTTAACAAAAACACGGGGTTTAACAAAAACAATATTCAGAATGGTACAACACGTGTTCATCTTCTCCAGGAAATAATATTACAAGTGATCATCTTAGGACAATTTAGCCACACTAGCAACAGGAGTTCTGTTAAAATGCAACTGTGGTCTACTAAGCCACTTATTTTAGCACTACAGAGTATTTGAAGTTAAGAGTCCTACGGCCAAGGCTTAAAAATCATTTAAGATTCAAACCTCAAAATGTCTTACAGTCAAAATGACGGTATTCTTAAAAAAACCACAACAAAATAACCCCAAAACAATTAATTAAAAGGCTTCTGTATTTAGTTTTATCCTCTTCATGGCATTCTCTATTCATACAGTTGCTTGTATCATTGGTAATAGGGTCTGTATCTGGCTTGATCAGGGTGATGTGGTCCAGGAAGGGGCGCCTGAGCAGGAGGCCCTTGCATCCTGGGAGGTGGAGGCGGCCCCCTTGGAGCTGGCCATATCCCTGGACTCATTCCCCCAGGCTGTGTGAAAGGGGGACTAAGAGTTCCTTGATCTTCACTGAACTGTGGCAAAGAGTTGGGGTTATAGTGGTGGGGAGGGGGAGCATTGACATTTACAGGTGGGCCTCCGTGCTGCGGGGGGGGAGGTCCCGGAGGAGGATGGTTCATGTAGGGCGGCATCTGGGCGATGATGTGTCCGGGCGGCGGCGTGATGGGCGGCGGGGCAGAGGTCATGGGGGGCGGCGGCGCCTGGCTGTACACCATGTGGGGCGTGCCTGCCGCCTGCGGAGGGTGCTGCAGCGGGTGGCTGATGGGCGGCGGCGGCGGCGGGGGCGGCGCATAGTGCTGCTGGGGAGGCATGATGTGATGGGGGTGCGACACCACCGGCTGACCCTGGTACTCGGGATGATGGTGAGCAGGTGCGGGCGCCGGCGGGGGCGGCTCTCGAGCGCCCGAGTTGGAATCATCCTGGATGGGGACAGTTATTAGGTTGCTGTGCTTCCTCGTAGAGATGCGGAAGGTGTCCTGACTGACGGGGCGGGGGGGCGGCGGGGCCATGGACATCTCTGCGGGAGGAGCACGGATGTCCTCGTGGGGCTGGTTGTAGTGCTCGTGTGGCACGTGCTGCAGAGGAGGAGGTGGCATCATGATGTGCTGCTTGGGCGGAATGTGGCTCATGTGGTGCTTCTCGGGGGGCATTATGAAACGCTCGGGAATCTCGGCCGGCGGCGGGGCGATAGGAGGATGTACGGGTTCGATGGGGGGACGAGTAACAGGCTTGCCAGCTCTCATGTGACGGTGGTTGATGTGAGCTTGTAAGTCCCTCTGTGACAGGTAAGTTCTCTTACATCCTTGAACAATGCTGCACATGAAGAGAGACCCTCGGACACACTGCTCGATTCGCTGCACAGGTTCGTTACAGCTAAATTAAAAGAGAATATTGATTTATTGTCATCACAGAGAGCTCAACATGCATTCTCCCTTGTTAACGTAATTAGACAAATTAGAACTGACACTTTTGCTCCACTGTAGCAATGAAAGAAACTTTTCAATGATTTTGAAGTTTACCTAGTTTATAAATATCGAAATGTAACTATGAAAGAACATAAAAATGTCATGAGGTAGAATTTTTAAATAGCATCTCTCAAACAAATTCTTCTGTGCATTAAAACATAACACGAGTCATTTTCACTAAGTAAATCAAACTGCCATTAATTCCTTTTTAAATTACAGCAGTAACAGGTTACCTACCCAAAACCAACAAAGTAAACACTGATCTCTTACAATCCCAAAATATGGAATAGGAACAAGAAAGTTCAGAGCACACTACAGCCTCTGCTAAATGTACATAAATAAGAGTCATGTTAATAGAGTACCTGAAATAAGATATTTAAGTTACTTTCTTACATTTCCTTTAATAACAAATCTTGAGATAACTTACCCTGGACACATCTTGTCTCCCTTTTTCTCATGTAGTATAGCACAGTCATAGCAGAAAACATGCTTGCAAGGTATCTAGAAATAAAACATTTCTCTTAAGACATCATGTATAAGTATCTATGTCATTCTGCAGACTACAGTTCCTCCCTCCAGTACACAGCTTATAATAAAGTAACTAAGTTACCTATGAGGTGAACAAGCAAAGCAGTGGTTAACAATTTACAGCATCTTTGCACAGAAACCTAGAACAGTTTATGCTGAGTTTGGGGTTTTTTGGAGTAGTGTTGTTTGGGGTAAAGTGTAAAAAGTGTAAAAAACATTGGCAGAAGTTTGAGTCTTGCACTATCACCAACACTGAACTTTCACAGAAGCTGCATATGCAATCTGATTGCACTTGTCTTGCTGGCAAGGAAGGAAAGTTTTAAAAGCATTAACTGCCATTAAGTCAGATGCTGAAGCCTGTTACATCATGCTTATAAATCTAAATTAATCTCAGGGATTTTTAAGGGTACATAAAAAAGTGAACAGTGTTTTCTAACTTCACTGCAAGTCTTCAACTGAGATAAAAAGCTTATTTTCAAACCTAAGTGGTGTAAGGTCAAAACCCCAGAAACTGAAGGTTTTTTCCTTTGTCATGGTGTTCTGTTTTTTGTTTAACATTTTCAGGCTTACTTTATTGAATCAGGGGGTAAAGCAAAATCAGTCAGACAGATGGAACAAAAACACCTGAGCAGTGAAGGCTTCCAGCTCCATCCTGGTACTATTCTGCTGTTTATTCAGATGCCTGTTGAAATCAGTGATCTCTAGAAGCCTCATACAGACACAGTAAAACCTCATTTTATCCAAAGGGAAACCATGGCTGCATCTTCCACTGGTAATTTCACTCACCATGCGTCCATACATTTTGATGGGCAATCCACACTTATCACAGAAATGGACTGGTGTATCATCCTTCTCCCCCAGCAAGTTTATCTGGTAGGACAGAGAAAGGGGTGAGAAAACAAACCCCAACATCACTAAAGCGTCTCATTTCAATTATCATCAACAGACCCATTATTTCTGAATTAGTTGAAAAGGAAGCAAGAACGTCACAAACAGGAGAAAGCAGAGGATGTAATTTTAGGCAGAACAAAACTGAAAAACTTTTAATTAACAAAGTATCTACCAGGACTATCTACAACTTGGTATGAAACACAGTCAAGATTCATGACTTTACCTTATAATCCCAAAAAATGGGTCCAGGAAATCTCCTTTGATTGCCAAACATTTCGCCTCCTTTACATTCGTATCGCTCCTCCTTGTTATAATCAAATTCTTCTGTGGAAAGGAGAAAGAGAAGAAAGACACGAGCCAACCACAACACTTTCGTAACTGACACCAGCTGCTATTAAGAGCATGGGTCATTTTTACTGAAATCATCAAAAATGCCACAGCACTTCCAATCTGCTGAGCCCATTCTACAGAAAGGCAGAACCAAAGTAGTAAGACAGCCTTTTTTGGAAATGGGCACTACTGAAGCCCTACAGTGCAGCAGTACTTGCAGATTTGAAACTTGCTTTGTGTTTGGACAGAACACTGGACTTTTCAGTCTCTGAGTAAAGTCTCAAGCAATGCTGTGGAATAATACACTTCCCTACTATAGGGAATTTACATGAATTTACCTTCATCACCAGCTTGTGTCTTCGCAGGCATCCTGTTCATATTCCTTGGAGTTCGAGGTGCAGGTTTGGTTTTATTGGTCTGTTTTGAAATAAGCTTTATAGGGATTCTTCTACGGACATCAAGACCACCCAATGATCCTGAACTATTTGTTCCTTGCAAATCATTGTCTGTGAAAGAAAAATTTTGAAAGTATAGATTTTTTAAATTTATCTAGTAGTCTCTAAAGAGGTTAAATATTAACAGAAATGTTTTAAGAAATATTATTTTTAAAGCTTGCTTAAGATTCCTACAACATACCAAAATTTAATCACTACAAATAGGTATCTTCACAGACAATTTATTCCAGAAATCATGACAAAAAACTGTTTTGTGACCAGCAACAAATTTAGGAAATCTAGTTTAAAAATAAAGCTATTAAAATAACCTAGCCAGTCACACATTTTTCCACAACAGAAACATTAACCTTATAGCTTTTCTCACAGTGTGAAGAGCACTGGAGAGTCAATTCTTTGTACAACCTTGATTACACAGAATTTCTTATGTGAAAAGATAATTTTTACAATTTATGTATATTATTTATTAAAGTAGGAAGGAAACTAGTTCGTATATTAACTCAACATCTTGATATATCACTTGGAAAAAAAGTAGCACAAAAATACTGGTACTTGGGAATATGTAGTTGTATCCTTCCTAAACTGAAAATTACTGTTCCCAGCTATATACAAAATTCTCCTTAACCAGATTTACATCTAAGTACCAGGGCAAACAAAGCAAGAAACAGCCTGACATATGCATCAGCAGGTACAGGCTCCAAGAGATAACATAGACCAGGTAATGCAACAAGCAACACCAATGACGAGACATAACTCCCTCAACCTCCAGCAAGTTTATCTGAAACCACCTCACAGCACCTCATTCATACAAAAATGAAGTTACATCCTTCACAAATCTTCCCAGCTCACTGGGATTTTAACTGAAAATGCCACAGGTGTTCCAAAGCAGGGCATGCTCAGTCTGGAAGGGGTGAGCCCCGAGCAGTCCCAGCCCTGCAGTTCCACAGCCCTGGAATGACTGCAGAGGCCCCAAAGGACTGCAGTGCAGGACACTGAAATTAGGGTTCTTTAGTGTAATTCTGCACAATGCCTCACCAACTGCTGCCTCTCAAAGCCTGTAACCACCACACACAATGCAACAAGTAGAAGGAAAACCAAGAAAAAACGGGATAGCCCTCAGTTTTTCAGCAGCTGCCAGCAAAGCTAGGAAATGTGTCAGTTGCAAAGTGGGACTGCGCCCTGACAGTCCTGTTCCTCCAAATCATCAAAAGCCCTCAGTTTCCTCAGACAGATCAAACTCCTCTTAGAACTATGGTTGACAGTTTCATTCTAAAAGGCAATATACAAAAAGGTAAAACCAATAAAGCTGGTTTTCACTTCTGGTCATTTGTTATTTCTTTCAGCTGTCCAGAACCTGCAAACACTCAACTGTGTCATCAGGCTTCCCCAGGGAGTGCTCGACCAAGGCATCAGAGGTAAAGCCACTTCTTTCTCACGTGTTGGGAAATTCTGTTTTCTACCAGAATACACAAAACCACAGCGCCATAAACCACAAACAGTCTCTGCAGCAACTCAGTCCATCTGCAAACAGGGATAACTAAAAAGAATTTTAAAAATCAAAAACCTATTTATTAGTTAATCCACTGAACTGCCAAATACGTTCTGTCACTTTTCCTCCTTATATCCTTTCAAGCCAGGAATATTTACATGAGTCAGCTGTAACTAACCCAAACTAGGAAGTTTATTAGTCACTCATGCTTCATGGAAGGATAATAAATTCCAGTCAGCAGGAGCATAATTTGTGGGATTATGTCCAGAAAAAACTACGACAAACATACCAAACTTGTTGAGACTACCTAAAGAAGTTCTAATTAGAGGTAATGCAACCTACTGAAATGTCACCTTCATCAACTTAAGTTTTATTTTTGCATTTCCAGCTTTATTAAAATTCACAAATACTGCCCAAATGCTTTATACAGATAGAGTCATAACGCAATCTTTTGTAAGGGAAAGGAAAAAAACCTCCAAAACCACCCTAGCACAAAGCCCACGTCCATTCATTTATTTACTGCACTACGCCAGCGCATGAACTAGCAAAGGATCCCAGCTACGCCAGCGCGCTCGCGGGCAAACGACACTCAAACCACGCAACCGAATTTAAGCACACGAGGAAGTTTCCTCTCGGGCCCCAAACAAACACGGAATCAGGAAACACATTATGGGCACCGATGCCGGGAAACGCCGCGGGCAAACGAGCGTCTCTGCCCCACCTCCGGCACGTCACGGCTGCATCCGGTGCTGCGGGCCCGGCACCCGGCCCGGCCGCGCCACCAGCGCCCGCCGCTCCGCCCGGGACGGGACGGGACGGGACGGGCCGTGCCGCCGGCAGCGGCCCCTCAGTCCGGCCCAGCGCCCTCGGGGCGGGGGCAGCGCCGGGCGCCGTCGGGCCAAGGTGGCACCAGGGCCGCCGCGCCTGCCCGGGCAGGGAGCAGGCCCCGCGGCGCGCCCGAGCCCCGCCGGCGCTCCCGGGGGCCGGGCCGGGCCCGCCGCCGCCGCCCCTGCGCCGCCCCGCGCCCGCCGGCCCCGCTTGGCCGCTCCCCGCCCGGCGGCGGGCGCGGGCCCGGCGGGCCGGGCTCGGACGGGCCCCCGGCCTCCCCCTGCTCACCATTGTGGTCCATGATGCGGCGCGGGGCGCTGTGGGAGCGGAAGGGCGCGGCCGGAAGCGGCGGCGGCGCGGGCGGGGCGCGGGCGGCGGGGCCCCGCTGGCCGAGCCCGGGCAGAGCGCTCCGGGCCGGGCCGGGTGCGGCCGAGAGGGAACGCGGCAGCCCCGCGGTGCGGAGCCGCGGCTCGTGGGACTGCGAGGCGGCCCCCTGGGTTTGGGGGAAGGATGGAGTGAGAACATGAGCGGCTCTCTCCGTTCGGGAGCCGCGGAGGCCCCGGCCGGCCCCCTGTGCCGTGCGGGCCTCAGACACTCGGAAAGTGTGAGCGGCATCGCGCTCTCGGCTGCTGCTGGTCAGCCTCGAGTTGTGGCATGGAAATGGCACATTGCATGGAAATGGCACATTGCTGACACCCTGTACAAGTGATGGAACAGTGAATCTCCAGAAGCTCCACAGCTATAGAATTCACTAGCTCAGGAGAGGACTTAAATGTTAAATTTAGCGTTTTGTAATTCCCGTGTAATTCAGTGCGATGCTGAAGAATAGTACTGAAGAAAGGAAAGAAATAAAAATACAATGAAGTCATAGGTTTTAAGTAGCAAATGGCCTCGAGCAGTCCTTCCACAGCCCTAAAGTACGGGTAACTCTACTCCATGTGCTTCACGTGGGTGATTGTCTCACTAAAAGCCTCCCGGGTTGGGATCTTGTGCCCCTACAGACAATGTCTCTCATTATCTTTATAGCCTTAACATTTTAAAGCTACCATTAAAGTCTAGCATTTCTTGTCTTACCTGCACAAGGCAGAGGGAACAGGTTTTCCCTTTTGTCTTTGTTGATCCTCAGAACAGACCCAAGGGAAGAGTGACATTGATCCTTTCATAATATGCTTTATCTCCCCATAATAGGAATTCACAAAGAGAAGACGTAAAAAACCCAAAACCAAAGAAGACACCCGCATGTGCAAGGAGCACATTTTCAGTATGCACAACTTTATTTTCTAGTTAATGGGTACAATCACTTTTCAAATGCAGCTTTTTAAAAGTGTAAAAAAACTTAAAATACATCTCCAAATTTGATATATGACATGCAAAAACAGAACAGTAATACTCAAAATGCATACAAAAATACCACTTTTTCATTCTACTGGAAAAAGATAAGCACATCTAGTTACACAACATAAAGATATTTTAATTAGTACAAAACTGTAGAGAATTTTAGCTTCGTTGCAAAATCCATTATTTTGGTATCCTTAATTTTGATGGATACATAGAAAATTAAGCACATAACCACTGAGAAAGGCATTTGAATGCATTCTGCATACTACATCTTACTCTTCTGTGCCACTGTAGGCTTTGAGAGAAATGCTGTTTTTCAGAAAACGTTTAATATTTTGTGCCTGTTAAATTAAGAACAACCATGTCTGGAAGAAATACACAGGCCAAGAATAAGTGCATTTTATCATATTTTATCACAATCCCAGATCAGATGTCCTGTTTGGAAAAGAACTGGAAGACTGTTGAGTATTTAATTGCTTTTTAAATACCTGTACAGACAAGAACTAGAGAAAGTTCAAAAAAGAATGTAATGGCATCTCTGTCAAGTAAGAATCTATACTCAAACTTCACAGTGCAGATGTTGCCTTGAGGGAAAAAAAAATCACCAAAACCATTTTTTTACCATCTTTCTGTAGACTGTGTCCTGCATAACAATTAGCTGAAAGCTCACTTACACAGTAGATTATTTTACTTTTTACTTAAAATGTACATCTGTTTCAGAAAAGCAGTACAGCTTCTAAAAAACATGTCACTGGCCTTGTGCACTGGCAGCTGTTCCAGTAGTCAGGTTAACAGGAGCTGGGGCCATGGCCTGATGGGGACTTCAGGCCAGTAAGGTGGGCTGTAGTGCCAGCCTCCTGTGAGAGGCTGGCAAGGGGACAGAAGGAGGACAGGTAGAATTAAAAGCATGAATTGGCAAATCACAGGCTGGGCTGAAGCACTGGTGCCAATAGAAATGAATGTTTCCATCTGCAGAGGTGCAGAGTGGTCTGATTTGCCTCTTGAACACTTGCCCCATCCTCAGATGGTGGAGATGCCCACCCCACAGCCCATGTCCATTGTGAATACAATCCTGCTGTTTGCTGGCTTGGACTGGAGCACCAACATCACCTAAATTCAAGTGTCTGTACTGAGAAACTTCACTGTTGTGAAGGCTGAAGTCTGTGCCTTAACAAGAGACTACAGATTTTAGATTGGTGCTGTTATCCATTATTTAAGATACTGTCCAACTGGCCAAAGTTTGTAGGATTTTTTTTCCCTGATATTAACTGAGTTCACTAGGGTCCTGAAGCCAGAATAATTTATTTAGTGCTTAGCTCTTTCACTTCCACCTGCAGCAGAAATCTCTGTTCAGTGTAATGTGAGAAAATTTCTCTGATGAAATCAAGTTAGGAGAATTAAATATACTGAAGGTAATTTTCCACATTGTTGAACCTAAAGGCATTTTATACCTGTGGACATTTCTTACACTTCAGTTTTTATCTGTTTCCTTACAACGCAGGGTTTTTTCCCATTTAAAAAATAATGTAATGCTAAAAAAATTAAGGTAGCAGTCAGTTTTCCATCAAAATACATTTCTTCTTCATGAAAACTAAGAATATTAGTTAAGAATTAAAATTTTGCTGCTCAAATATTTTATCTTCTGTAAATTATTGCACTTGTGCATTATGAACTTTCATATGTCAAAGAACAGCAGCAGTTTGATGTAGACTATTAAAAGAAAAAAATCTCTATAAAAATATAACTATTAATTAAACAAAAAATACATCTATATTCTATTAAAAAACCCAAATATCAATACTAGGTCACATTCTGACTTTCTTGCTTACACTCAGTATCAGCCTGTTTTACAGATTTCATTAAGTACCCAGGGGCTAAGGTTTTCCTTAATTTATGTCATGATCTGCCTCTTGATGAAGATTATGTAACCTAGCCAAAATAATCTTCTCTGTCCCTTATTTAAGGGACAATCATTAATAGAGTGCAAGACTTGCTACAATGGGATTAACACAGATCTAATGAACCCATATCCAAGGGTCTTTAGAAACTTTTCCTATTTGAAGCATTACTGTAGTTCAGTGCTGTTTCCTGTTCATGTGACATTTTCACCTGTCACCTCTTTCAGTGATCTAACTACCTGCAGCAATTTAAGGAATTGCTTGAAAAAAATGATCATGGTACATTTTTCAAGGCACACAAATGTTCTTGAATTCAAAGCCTTGGCCAGCTAGAACTCCAGCCCTTTCACTAGGCTTTGTAGAAATATTGAACAAGGCTTGCCATCCAAAGAATCTGGTCTCTTCCACTCTCCTGGGCCAGCCACAGAGCAGCTTTTCATCCTGTACACACTGATAAAAGTGTAGTGCAACTTCTGCCTGACTAGTCCCAAAACTGAGTACATCTTTCACAATAGTCTTCTGATTTTCTTTTTTATTAATATATATCATAGCAGAAAGTGCTTGCAGAATCAAAGTCCAGAATATTTCTGGGATAATGCTAGCTAAAATTTGGAGAGTTATAGAAATCTGTATCATTCAGACAAACAATCAGGGTTTTCTTCAAGTGCAAAGATTGGTTTCATAGCAGAAAATGCTGGTATGGACAGTACTGGTGGCTGGATATTGCTGTGCTCTCACAGGCAGGACGGTACCAGCAGTCCTTCAGGAGGCAAGTCGGCGCATAGCCTAGAGAAATGGGTTTGGAAAGGTGGAGAGAAACAGGCTCTGGTTAGCTCTCAGTATACATACACCATCTGGGAAAATTACATGTTTGTGTAAACTAAAAACACAGTGAAAGTACAAAGGAAGTAACATCTGTAAACTGTGCAGGTTGTGCAAGAAGCTGTCTGCTGTGTTAAAAGGAGGAATGAAAGGAGAAGGTTGATCATCATTTTGGACTCTGGTGCCTCAAGCCTTACAAAGTCTTCTTTTAGGTGCCCAGCTTATATTTAGATCTACTGATAAGCCTGTGTAAGGCAAAAGTAATCCTAAAGCAAGAGAGATGAGGAGATAATTAAGCAAATATAATCTACTACCATCTCAAGAAAAATGTGACTTCCTCCACCTAGTACTGACATTCAGTATCCAGAGAGGGTATGTGTTTATGGAGCTGGTACCTGCTGAGGGCCATACTCTCACAGCATGACTCAAGGCTACAGGCAGAGGGATAGACACTTTCAGTTCTGAAGTTCTTACCTCTTCCTGAACATCAAGTTCATCATCAGGCTGGCTGGCTTCTGTGAACTCTATGGGTTCTTTTGACTCCTGCATGAGTGAAATCTTGGTAGAAAGAAATTAAGAAACATGATGAGTTACATGTTGTCCATATAATTGAAATTTATTTTTTTACTATAAAATACCTTAAAATAACTTCCACATCTTAGAATAGTCTTTTGTTTACTGTTCCTTGACAAAGATGATGATTTACTTCAGCTGAGAGGAACTTAAAAATCGCAGAGCTTTTGGGCCTGTCTCTGCTCATATGACTAGTTATGGCTTTGTAACAATAATAAAGGCTATCTTTAAACTGCTGCATAGCATTATGAAAATGTTAATGTCCAGCAGAAAAATTAGTATGAAAAAGTTCTAAAAATAAGAGTTCTAGCCTAGTTAATTATCAGTAATATTAATTTTAATTGTTATTTATTCATAATACTGTAGTAGTGATTGCTAGGAAAGGAATTGTGGTGAAAAGAAAGGAGGACATTATAGGACCATTTTCCTAATGAGAGCCTTTTAAATGCTACAGAGCACAGCAAACCTTTAAATGCTACAGAGTGTTCTGGTTATCTAAAAAAAACACAGAATACAATAATGAAAGGCACAGAGAAGGGCAGCAGGAATTAACACTAGTGTGGAACAGCTTCTGTACACATCTATGCCAAGTAGAGTGAGACTATGGCTTTGATCAGAAGTCTATGGAGCGTTGGGAAAGGGAGCAGAGAATGATTATTCATTGCAGCTAACAATCCAGAAGTCCAGCAGGCCTAAACCAAGCAGGAAATATTTGTCATATAATTGAAAATTAGAGAACCCATCTCCACAGGATAGTGTCACAGGTTCCAAAAGAAGTATTAGAGACACATTGAAGAAAACTCCATCTGTAGCAATTAAATATAATGTTGCAAATGCAACCTCCAGCTGATGAGGTTCTTAAGATGCCAGTGGTCAGAAATCAGAGAATGTGTCTTAGGATGAAGTGTTTTCCATATGTGCTGTTTCTCATGTTCTTTTCACTAACAAGCTCCTGGAGCTGACAGACCCTTCCTTTAATCTACAAAAATACTCATGTACTACAGAAGCTGCCTAATTTACTACACTCCCACTTTTTTTGTACTACAGTTCTAGGTCTAGTTTTCAAACGTGCCACAGAAACTTCCAGAATGAGGGCTAGATGATGGAAGGAAGGGGAATGTACTGCTGGATATCCTTACCTTCTCAAATATGGGATCCTGGTTGTCACTGTATGTCATTTGATTCCTTATGTAGAGCACTGCATCATGGACAGTCAAGAAAAATATGTCTTTTCTGACAGTGTCATCAAAGAAGGCACCCCGTTCCAGCTGAGATATAAGGTTGTCTGAATAAAAGAAAGTCATAGCTTGTTTATACAATATGAAGTATTTAAGAAATAAAAGTTAAAATACATGGTTGCAACTGTCAGAAATCGAGTGAATCCAAATGAATCCCTCAATTATAGTTTAGTTTTGACTTTTACTTTCCATATCTCCTTTGCACTGCACAATTTTCTGTGTCCCAGTGGAGCCAACAATGCTTATCAGTGTTACAGTTCACACATTTATTAGTGTGGATGCTACACAGACACATCTTGAGATCACTTCTCACCTTCATTTTATATTTTGCATGAGTGAAAGTAGAAATACTTGTATATTTACCTTGATATGAAGCAAAGTATACTCTCACATCAATTCTCTCAAACTCTTTAATTATCTAAAAAAAAAAAAAGTTTGCAACAAAGACATCAATAAATAAAGTCTGTAAGGAGAAAATACATATCTGTTTGTATGTCTGTGTAATGTATAGGCACATACACTTTATTTTTTTCTGATTGTCTTCATTCCACATAGTACATTTTGTTTATTCATCATAATTAAGGTACTGCTATACTTTGCTATACTTAAAGATCCACTAGTCAGGTACTTGGTTGCTGAAGTGTCCTATCTTGAACTATGTAAGTGGAAGTACCCATTTTACATGCACAAGCATTGCTGCCAATTAAGGTTGTCATTCTGTTCTCAAAATTCAAATAATCATCTCTCCAAGGGAGACCACATGGGGCTGAGTGAGCTTTGTTTCCCTCATGTATGTGTGGTATGGTACACTCATTCACTGGCACATGCAGATTTTTTTACACAGATTTTTCCCTCATGCAGTGCACAGATGGACCTGTCCTTGGATGAAAAAGCTACATATGGAGAGAGTCATGTCAACAAACCCCATATTCCATGTACCTAGGCAGGAGGCTGATGCAAGGCACACACTGCTCCTGTGTTTCATTTAGTTAAAAGGCAGGAGACTAAAATCTACCCCTGGCTCCCTGATGGCAGGCAAGTCTCTTAGATTAGTGTTTTCAGAGGTGATTATTAATTCTATTTCTGTTACTTGATAAACTTGAGTCATGGTAAAGATCTGCTTTTATAGATAGGCTAAGTAGCTGCAAAATTCAGTTACTGAAAGCATTAATCTGAACATATGAACTATCAGAAAAAAATGAAGACTGAACAATGTGGTCCTACACACTTGTAACTGGGCACCAAAAAATAATGGAGATACTTGGCCTTAATCTTTACACCTCATTTCCTTCTTCCTAGGAAGACATAAAATCTCCTTATTATGTACTGTGAGTTTGAAGATTAATGAATGAATGAATAAATGAAGGAATGAATAAATAAATCTTATGGCTAAAAACTGAACTGGGATGGTAAGATGAAAGTTTTACTACCTCTGTGTTGAGTGAGCATCATCCTGTGCCCAGATTAAAGCAGGAGGCATGTGGAAAGAAAATATATAACTAGAATATTTTATAACACTTGCATATAAGGGGACCACATTTTGCAGTTAATTATTTTGAGTACTTGAGTATGCACCGTTCATATTGTTCTTTTAATGCATTTTTTCCCACTTTAAATACACACACCACTAATATTCTCTTTCTTGCTGATATTTTCATATTTATATTTTCATGGTATTTTTCAACAACATACTTTTTAAAACTCAGAAATTAATTTCAGCTAGCAGCTCTGGATTTACATACTACTGACTAGTTTCATTTTCACAGAACATCAGAAAAAAATGTCCTTACCGTTTTTATTGATCTCACAGCTACAATATCCAAGAAGGTTACTGCTCCAAAATCAAGAATGAGACTGTGGATGGACACCTTGGGGATGTTTACTTTGACTGGGAGTTCTGAATTCCAGTCCACCTGGATCTCTACTTCTTTGGTGGGAACTTGAGGATCCTGGTTGTCTTCAGGTTCCTCATCAGTCTCAAAAGCTTCATTATTAATACCAGGCTCACTGATGATGCCGTTCTATTGCCAGACAATATATGGAATATAGAATTTAATCATGGGTAAATTTTGGGAGTTACAGAAAATACCACCCTGTGGTACCTTCTATTGAAGGAATTGACAAGATATAGACACTTGTGACCAGTATCCCCTGCTCCCAATCCTGGTACAGTGGGTAGCATAACTAATGCCATTTTATAAGGCAAGAAGCCATTCTCTATGGCTGAGCAGGTCATGTATTTGTTTCCTTTTCCCTCATTCTCAGGCCCCGAAGGTCCTGTGAACCAATCAGACAAATCAAATCAATTCCTTCTTCCTCTCCCTGCCAGCCTCAAGGTTCCTGGGCACCAGGCTGATCTCTCCCTTCCTTGCTGGCCTTGAAGGTCCCAGGCACGTGGGCAACCAGGTGTAGTTGGTGACCCCATCAGAGAAAAGGGAAATGTAACACAGGAATTGCCATAACAGAGCACTCTCCATGGCAAGTCCTGTGTGGGACATTTGGACCAAAACTGCTGCTAACAGTGAGACACCCCCAGGGGCCAGGGATGCCTACACTGTCTTTTATTTTCTCTGAGTATTGGTGACTCAACTTCTTTCATGTAGTTTTTAAATCTAGATTATAATTGTTATATCGATACATTAAACCATGTATTAATACCTCACCTGATCTGCAGAGGGTGCAGGTTGTTAGAAATTCTAAGTTAAGTTAGGGTCTAGGTGATTAAAACTGTGAGTTAAGTTGTATTATAAATTCTGTATGCTACTTATGAACTGTACTACCATGTAGTAAGTCACACTTTTCATCTCTATTTTAAAGATGAGTACAGAGTAATTCATAATTAGACCTTAACAAAAAAGCTCCAGCAGTAACCCTTTGAGAAAAAATAGATGTAAATAATTTTAAGAAGACCTACCTTAGTAGCTTTTAATTTTCCCTTCTTAATTAGCTTTTGTATTTTCCTCAGTGCTTTGAGTCTCTTATTATATACCTTGACTGCATCAAATCCCACCTAAAGAAAACAGACCAAAATTATTTAATTTAACTCAGTATAGTACTGAGGAAATCTCAAGGACAGTTAAGAAGCTTCCAAACCCATAACTTCTCACTTACAGTGGATTTGAGGCTGCTTTTCAGTCCATCAATGTTAGCATAAAAAATTGGACTAGAAAACTTGAGAATCTTCACACCTTCTGGTTCTATAACCTGTAGCCAAAGAATATAAGGTTAAACAGCAAGAGCCACATTTTGACAATAAGAAGCAGTTTAACTATTTCAGCAGTTCAACTACATATCTAATTTTAAAAAATTGCATGGATTTGTTGATGATTGAGGGAACTCTATTTTTAGAAGCTTACAGCTCCAACGTGCAAGATGGACCAACCATCTGGATGAAGAGGGTGCTGAAATTTGTTATCCTTGAATACCCCATTCCAAATTCAAGTTATGTACAATATGCAAGGCACCACCTTTTCTTACACTGATGTGTAGACTCAAGGAAAACAATTCAGCCATGACTTACATTTTTGTAGTCCTTGACCTTCTTGTAGATGTCTGTGCCAGGAATGTTTCCAAAGCCTCCCCATGAAGGACTAACAGAAGTAAGGACAGTGAAGGTAAATGTCATACATGGGCACTCACAGTTTTGAAGGGATTGCTGCATACAAAGTGTCTTTGACTCCTGTAGTTTGCTTTCTAATGCCAAACCAACAGACTTGCAAAAGTGTTGAAGTTATTTTGTGTCACTGTAGTGAACAGGCCTTTATAAAAACAAGGTACTTTGGTCTCAGCCTACTTAATGCACCATTTTGATTTAAGAGCTGAGTGAGCAACTTGTTCAGTTGGTCTCCCAAACCAGAAGAATATTTTAAAAGCAAATAAGTTTGCTTGAAGTTTAAAAAAACATTTTTTTACACTGATAAAAGAATTGTTGACTTTTTTTCATTTCAAATCAACTGAAATGCATTTGCATTATTTTCAGATTATGTAAATCTTTTTGTCCAACCTTTTAAATTTTTATTTTAGTCAATAACAAAACCAAAATGTCTTGCAGTCTCCAGATATATATTTAACAGCTGAAGCAAATTGTTCTGAAGTTTGTAAGGCTTCATCTCCCCTTTATATTTTGGTAACATCTGAGTTGAATTTGGTAATGCATTTTTGAGGCTCTTCAAATTTAATTTTTTTTATAATCTACTATTGTGTAACAATTTTTACAAGGCTTTATTTTTATGCATTTGCTAACAGTGCAACTATATATTGGTAATGCTAGTTACCATACTCTCTGAACTCCAAGCTGAAGGAAAGAAGTAATGTTGTATTTTCAGATAAAAGGTCAATGAAAAAGAACAAGATGACTGAATAAGGTTCTTCAAATCCACCTTTTCTCACCATTCCACTCCCATATATTCTTTAAGCAGCAACAAATCAGCCAGAGGCACAATTTTTTTTTCTTATTCTCATGCTTTCTCTTGCTCTTCTTTTACAGCCATTCAATCAGTCGTATAAGCAATAAGTGAAAAGGTTATTGGCATGTGCAACATACTGTAGTAGTATTACCTGCTGAGAGTTGCTATAATGATCAATTCACTACCAAAGCCATACATCTGTTTATATGTGATCTAGAAAGTTCCTGTCCCTTTTCAGAACTCAGCTATGTGGCTGCATATAAAACATATTGCTAAGTACCACCAGAGTGGCCAACATGATATGAAATACTGATCAAATAATGCAGCTTCTCTTTTATCAGTGTAATTAAATGATAGCACACAAAGAGTGTCTTGATCTAAAAGAAACAGATTTTTTTTTCATTTCAAAATTTTTGTAAACCAAAGCAGATATTCTACCACAAATCATCTTGCATTTCAGCATATTATCTTCCTTTTTTATAATATAAAACTAAGAATTATTTCTGATTTTGTATTACTTACAACTGAACTCTCAGCACAACTGTCAGCAATCCAAACAAAAGGCCAGCAAGTAATCCCAAATCAAGTCCCAGAATGATGGATGCTATACATGTAAAAACCCAGATCATCTGGAGAAGAAATAACAATTTAAAGTATTTACATTTTATGTAAATAAAATGTAAAGTATTTTCATTTTAACATATGACTCATGGCCACACAAAAGAAACACTAGACCAGGTAATATGAGAAGCAGATTTTAACTTTGGAGCTGATTGTAGCACACTAGCAATCTGCTGACTTCCAATCAGAAGTCTTCTTCCTCCAAGATACTTTCATCCATGATATTATTAGGCATAGTTAGTTAGCTTTTTAGGAAATAAGGGGGTTTTCAACATAACAATATTTTTTAAGGATCTGATTCCTTTGACAAAATTAAAGGAGATACAGTTAAGCAATGCATTTACTTATTTCTGATGACGGCAATCTTTGTTAATCTTTCTTAAAATTGGAAAGAGTTTTATTTTACCAAGATGTAAAATACTGTAAGGTGCCCCCCATGCAGACAGACAGGGAAGGAAGGGGATTTCTCAGTGACATTTAAGAATCAGAAAGAACTGTTGCAAAGAGAGGTATTTCATGTTAACAGGTTGATGGCACTTCTCTAAGATCTCCACTGAATATTCAGGCAGAACAGTTGAAGTGCACTCCTCAGTTCTTTCCTACATCACTGCCCATGCAGTAGACTCAATTTTTTTAAAAGCTAAGTTCTTGCACTTCTCACTGAAGTCAGTGGGATCTTTTGTCTATAAATCAGTAAATGATTGACTAAAATATCTGAGATCTAAGACAGGTACTGCCCAATGACACTCACTGTAAAATAATGGGAAAAATGTCTTCCATGCAATCTTTTCCTGGCTCAAGAGCCACAGTGAAGGTCTGCTCCACAGAATACACAGTGGGAGATGTAAGCAAGTACCCTGAGATATGGTTATAGTGGTTCATAAGAAAAGTCTCTTTATACACCCCTTAGCGTGCCAAATGAATCCACATCCTAGCTTGGATTAGTCTTACCACAACAAAAAACCATTTTTCCTGAGGACTATCTGAGATTATTCAGGCAAATGGGATGTTCATGTGGTACAACAGAAATATATGTACATGAATTAAGGAAAGGTCTCTGACTCTTTAATAAAGAAGATTAGCAGAATACTGACTTAAAAATGGTTAATTTTTTACTGACCTCATAGTATTTGCATTTTGAGGATACACATAAAAGTTTTCTGATGTTAACCCCACAAAGTCCTGCTTATGTGGTAGTTAAGAGAAACTTGGATGGCATTAAAAGGTAAAAAAACCCCAAAAGTGGACAAAAACATTCAGGAGGAAAAAAAAATTAGGTTACTTACAGCATCCACTTTATTCTGTCTCCATAGACGGGGAACATCAAACACTTGCATGAACATCCCTTTCAAGTTAGCTATGACTACAGCTGCCAACACAGACTGTGAAGAAAAATGATGAAAAAGTGGTATTCAGAAGCAAAGATACATATTAAGATAGTGCTCAGCATCACACACTATAAACCACAGCCCTGTCTGGAATCAGATAGCACAGTTTAAAGTGGGATATTAATCTTGCCCATCATAGTTGAACATTTGGCTCTGATGTGGCTGTGCTACAGAAGAGTACAGTACCTTTTGTAAGGGCTCTAGCAATTTCCCCAGGGCAACAATAGAAATCAAAACGATCCCAGCTGAGATTATACCAGCAACCTGCAAAGAACAGTGTTTATAGGAAATGAACTTACTATGATTCTATCATCTTATTCTAGGATTACAAAGAGAAAACTACAAACAGTTGCACATTACATTTCTTTAGGAACAGGGAGACCTGCCAAAGTGTCATTATGTTTAGGCATATGTGGGCAACCATTATTCACTTCAGCTAACACAGAGGGAATTCAATTAAGCAGGAAGTCTAAACAAACACAGGGTAGTAGCTCTTGAGGGGTTATGTTACAAAGACAGATGAATGGGGCAGTCTGTGTGTAAGCTGGAAAAGGAGCTGCTGGATAACCTGTAGTTTTTCACTATTAAGAACCACACAGCTATAGTTTGGTAGAACAAAGTAATTTACTCATCATGATGAAGATGTTCCATGGCTGATGGTGAATGGCAAATGGCAGAGCTGCTCCGGCCAGCATATGGCAGTTTAAAGATATCATAGCCAGCTGGGAGAGATTTCCTCCCACATCCTACTGTGATAAACTCAGTCCTTTAATTGGAAATGAAATTCTGGGGGACTAGAGTTAAAAGATTTCTGACCCCTAAGGTAACTCATGCTATGTAAAACTTGATTGCCCTCTTCTGGCAGAGCTACAAAAATGATTCACTACTAGAGCCGAGGCTTTCCATGTACCAGCAACGCAATCATTTTAGGACTATTTTCATCTCACAGCGAAATCTGTGCACTACACAAAATTAAATTTACCTCTGCACAGTACTAATAAGAAGAGGCCATTACCTGAGTCTTTCCACCAGTACTTTCTTGGACTGCAGTCCGTGAAAGAGCCGTAGTTGCAACAAAGCAAGAAAAGGCACCTGAAAAAATGTTGCTGAACCCAAAGGCAATAAATTCCTGAAAGATAATTGGATAATGCTGTAAATAAAGATGCCTGAAGACAGTTTTTCAATGCAGAAAGACAGCAGCAGCTTCTGCAGTAGTTGATAAAGTAGGTAGCACAATATTATGAAAAGTGTGAACTAGTTATAGCTGTTAAATGTTTACACAAGTGCCTCTTGTGCCAGTGCAGCTACCTCTGTTTGGAAACCAACACAAAGAAGTTGGTTTACTCCCCCTGAAGTGGACATACTCATCTGAGTAAAAGGTGTTTAAAACTTCCATCAATGTTATCAAACCTAACATTTCTAAGAATTACACTGGAATAATTGAATCAAGAAATGAGTACTAGAATAAATTTACCTTCCAGGTATCATAAGCTAAATAAGTTTATTGTACTAAACTCAGTACAATAGTCTGAGTTTAGACTAGACTTTAACTAATGCAAAGCACTGTATTATTAGTAGAACTGTTAAGGAACTTTGCAATAATGCACAATTTCACTGAAAACTTCTAGTTTGCTAAGTCAGAAATTTTTCACTCTAAGCATCCCAATGAACTCTCACTGAGTCTGAGGCAGTACTCTCATAGATTTGCCCCAGGGTCACTGAAGCCAGCACCTGCTGATGCTGGTTTTTCTGCTCAAGTGACAAGGACCCTGGAAGCTTTATGTCCTGGGATCTGGGCCATTCCTCTGCTGGGAAATCAAGAATTTGGGAGCTGTCTGCAACCAACCCCATATAATTGACAGAAACCTTGTTTTCACCAAGCTGACACAGGCACAAGAGCTTTTCACTCACTGCAAACTTTTTAAAATATAATTTAAAATTTGATTTTGGCTGTCTCCCTTCTTTTGTACAAAATTAAATTTCCTGTAAATTTTCATTTAGCTCCAACCACAAGAGCTGAAACAGACTTAAATGATTCATGACTATTCCCATGTAACCACTGTGATTGATGAGAAAATATTGGAGGTATTGTTCCCAGTGTTCTTAGGTGTTAATGATGTGGATCTATGAAGATAATGTAGACACTGGTAGATAATAGTATCAACCTGTCCTTCAAAATTATTTTACTACCTGCTTTTATGATGTTATTTTAACTTCTCCAGATCAACTAAACTATTTGCTCATCATCCTGGGCTGCATTTAACCTTTGCTACATGTAAAATTCATAACATAGTACTGAAAGGAAGGCACTCTGCTTTTATAAACTGATTCTTCTACTACAATATTTAATCAGTATCTTTGAAGCACACCACTGCTGGCAGAACAACATATTCAACAACAGAACAGCATAAACAGCACTTCTAGGATTATGTATTATTCTTTGAGATTTATTAAACTGAAAGTTGGTGCATTTTTGTCACCTTTAAGACCAAGTGTTACCAGATATGACCTTTGAGGATTGTAAACTGACAAACAGAAGCATAATTTTCTTATATACAGCAAAGCAGAGTTTCTAAAGTCAAACTTTATGTAATCCATTAGGACTAAAATAAAGGATTCAATAAGCAAAATACTCATCTATTGGTTGTAGTGCAGGCATTTTCTAATATGCTCAAAGGATAAAATTAAAAATTAGCATAGATGCAGGATGAGGAAGCTTTCTGACATTTTAATTCCACACCACGGGCGAGCAACATAACCCCCAGTGAAGACATTGAACAAATGCAGGAATCCTGTAAGAGCTTGTGATGCACAGCTCATGGCACATTCTAGCTCTGTGCCCCTAGAAACCAATGCTTAAAGCAGTTCAGCCACTTAGTGCACACAGCTACTCCAGCATGTTCATATGCTGGTAGGCACTTGTGTGTAACTTGTGTGAAGCTGCAGGACTGATCTGTTAGGTTACAAGTGCAGTTATATTGATGTTACTGGAGTCATGCTGAGAAGTACCATTTATTAACTGTAAAGTTCAGCTGATTCAAATCCTGCATGAAGTCTAAGCCTAAATAAAGCTGTCCAGAGCTACTTCTTAGCTTGACATTGCCTTCATCTGCCCAAGCAACACACCTCAAAATATGCCTTACAAGTGGAAATGGAAAGTAAATTGCTAGGCCATGTCAACTTGACATCACCAGAAAATTCCCCTATACAGTGCTCAGCCCTTTCAGAGCTACTGCAGTCACTAGACCAATAAAGAAGGAATGAAACAGTATGAAAAGCCCATTCTGCAGCTGGATCTGGCTCATCTCTATGTGGCCATTTCAGCTATTTTTTTTTTCCAAGAGTTGAAAGGATTTCTCCTGTCAGACTTTAGCGCTTGTCTGAAAAATGTGTGTGAATGGTGTTTCTTTCATTTGGCTATATAAGTCAGCATGTTTTACATTATGAACATCACTATGTTTATAAACTATTTTGGTTATACATACCTGGTTTCCATCAATAGCATAGTCATACTTGGTTGCATATACCTTCCCCACAGACACAGCAATAGCATAAGCAACGATAGCAATGGAAAAGGAGGCTGCAATCATCTGGGAAAACAGGCTGACATTTGGAGGCTCAGGAGGCAAAAATCTAGCATTTAGAAAATATATTGGTGTTACCAACTTTGATTGAATTCCATTCTTACCAGAACTGTCAAGGAGTTTGAGGCAGAGGCATACAGGTTGCTTATAATATGAAGTGTAATGTTTCAAGTTAATAAAAAGGTGGAAACAGCCCATTGACATACAGAACACGCTTATCTAGCTCACCCCAGCCCAAATCCTGATGGTATTAGTCAGCAACAAAGTCCCCATTGTTCTCAGCATGACTGAGATTTGGCCTTATGATAGCAAAGTGAAAAACTTCATTTTTTGAAGCATCGAATAAAGAATGTATTGAATAGTGTGATGAATTATATAAATATGTTAATGCCACTTCATACTATTGTTAACATACTTCTTCAGTAAGATCTCAGAAGCATTTTATCCCCTACTGTGTTTCCACAAATTTTAATTAATTAAGCCCTGAATACTAAATGGAATGTGAAGGTTACTACTGTGAAGTGCTCTGAATCTTTCAAGTGGAAGTCTCTACGAGTGTAATCCTCAACATCCTTGTTCCTATGAGTATGGAAGTGACAAAGTTGATTGGGATAACAGTAGCAGCAGGATTATGAACTGCAGTGGGATAACTCAGGATTACAGAAATTAAATCTATGCAGAATTTCTTTATTAAAAATTATTATTTTTTAAAACCATTTTCCACAGTCCCATAGTCACTCCATGAACAGGAAGTAATTAATTTTCAGATGGAATTCATGAATTAGACAGACATTCCTAAGCCCACTTTACAGAAGGAAAGCTAGGCAACACATTTGGGTGGCATAACTGATAGAGCCAAAAGTAAAACTCAGAAAATTTCCAGATCTGAGTTCTAAACTCAGGTTACAGCGCTCAATGTTTCTTTTATGCATTTTCTCTTACTACAGTCATTTTTAGCCAATTAAAATAATACCTTTTCCCCACAAAACAAAGAAACTCACCCTCTTGGAATGCTCTTAACAATGCCTGCATTGTATTTTTTTTCCAAGTCAGCAGCATAGGAAATGCCAGTGGCTACTATTGTCTGTAATAAGATAAAACAACAGTTTTAAGACTTAAAAAGAGCTCCTGTCTTCCTGTAGCTAGACCCATCAATTTTATCTGTTTTCAGCTTTTGTTAAGCCCCCTTGCTTACCACAATAACTTCTATTGGGATAGGTATAGGTATCTTGTGTTTGAACCGATCATTTATTTCTTTAACTACCATGCAGACAAAAATGGTGAGGAGTCCAGCAATAAGATCTGCAATGTTGGTGGTCCCAATTTTTTCAAATGTTTCAACAAGAGTCTGAAAAACAAAAATGCCAGCATAAGACATGCCCATGTCCATTTGAAGGATGTGCAAATACTCATGACATGATCCAGATGCATAGGGTTTTGGAGAAGGCCAAGAAACTTCATTCAAGCCTAGAGAAGCCTGAGGAAAATGTATTGTCAAGGTGCTATCAGTAAATGGATTTAATAGAGAATTTAATGGAAAAAGCATAACTGCAAGAATTGTCCACACAGGGGGCTTCTGCTTCCCAATTTTAGTCAATTAATACTAAGTAAAAAGAGCTAACTCTCTAACTGTGTTTTACCTCTACCTGTATCAGAGAAAGGAAGGGAAGATCTGGAGCTTCTTCACTTTGACAAATAGCAAGGGAGATCCTCATTTTTCTAAAGAGAGCTAGCAGACCCACGGGCAAAGCTCTGGTTCACTTCATGCCCAGTTCATGTGGTCTGTGCATTACTTGTTTCCTATTTCCACTGCTGACAAACAGAGAATGAGTGTGAACACACAGGTCATACCAGGCTGTGGAGAATCCTGCACTTCAGAAAAGCAGCCACTAAACCTCACTCTACAGTAAATTAACCCTCCCAGCAGAGTTTAGCCCCAGACTGGAGCACTCAAACTGGGCTGCAATAGGCTGCTCCCTTCTCTACCCTTCCTGTGCCCTTGCTTGATCCTATTGTTTATTACAAGTTATTGTACAGAGAAAACATGAAGGAATGATTACAGAAAGTCACAAATATTACTCTGTCCCACTCCTAACCATCAGGGTAGTTCTCACTTGCCTCCTGTCTCCAAGAAAATGTAATTATCCCATGCATAGTGAAGTAGCTGTAGCAGAACCATCTGGTAGAAAGGGGCTAGAAACAGACTCCTTGCATCCTGGTTAGCTCCCCAAATAATGAGCTTTTGGTTTAAACTAAGAGGAGGTTTGCAGCAGCAGCACTCCCACCCTTCTGAACAGACTTTGGTTTGGAAATACAACAACTAAGTGCTTAATTGCCTATGTTTCCTAAGGTAAAGAAGCCTTCCTGAAACACTGAATCAGACGCCCTCCGTTGGCTGACTGAAGCCATTTCTTGCCCATTCTTCTCTTTACCACAGATCCCATGAGAATGGCTGAGCACCTCTTGCACTGCTTCACTCCACAGGGAAACAGTAAATTCCTAACTTTGGCTGCAGATTCTGCTAATGTTGGATGCTTGGTGTTGCAGTTTTTTAAACACTACTGAAGCAAGTCCAAAACTTGCTGAAGCAAACCCAGCAAATCACTGGTTGAGCAGACCAGAAATAACAATTTCTTTGCTCTACATGCACCTGCAAAGACATTCACCTGGCTCACCTGCAAGAACACAGAATCTTTGAACTTTAACCTAAAAAGTCAGCATCCCACTCAGCCTTGCTGGAGCTGGAAGAACCGTGCAGTCCTTTCAAAAAGTGCATTCTACTAAATTATACCATTCATTCAATAAGCAAACAGATGGAAAAAAATGCTGGATTAACAAGCCCATCATTCTGCCAGGTCTGCTGTAAGGTATATTATACAGTAAGTACATCTAACTTTCCTTGTTCTGAGGGGAAGAGTTTTCATTAGTTCTGAAAAGGCCCGTTAAGAAAATAATTTTTTACCCCCACAAATAATCCTCCAGATCTCTTTTTGAATTTTTACCTTGCTGTTTATAGTTATATTCATCCTATTATTGTTAATCTAGATGTCTGCTGTATTTTTCCTAGTCTGGTTGCTAGAACTGGCAGGTAAAATCTCCAAATACTTTTTTTTCCCCCTAAAACAGCCTCTTTTAGAAATCTGCTATTCTAATATGAAGTGCTATGGAACATCTAAAATACTGTGAACCTGGATAGTTTCATGCTGAAGTCAGTGACACTACTCTGAATAATTTTCCTGGGAAAGGATACTATTCTGTAGTACAAGACCTCTAGGAATTCAATATTTCTGTAATGCAGCCAAAACATTTCTCCATTTGAGCATTTTCTAAAAGATCAACAAATGGAGTTGTAACAGTAACAATCAGCCTCACATTTGCTAACCAGTAGATACCTGGCCAAAGGATGGGAATCTGTATCCTTTAGGAATTCACATGCATGGCTACAGTGGGAAATGGAGAACAATGCCTTTTACCACAATGACCTGCTCGTTTAAGTGTAAAGAGCTTTGGGAGATGACCTGACAGGGTTAATAAATGATCAAATGTCCTTCACAATAAGTGAGAAAGCAAGGGATGGGACAAACTGTAGTCTCCAGAAGTGAAAAACTGTTTTGCTTGGCATTTAAACTTCATGTGAAAAAGTGCTCTGTCTGAAAAAGACTTCAAGATGGCAATTTCTGTCTGAGGAATCCCAAAGGCAGCTATTTAGAGCCCCACAGCTAAAAATAAACAGCTGCAGATCTTCATGAAAGGGAGAACTGAAGGAATGCCCTATACTTACTACCATATATATGAACCATCTCTGTGTGAAATGGAAGCAGAAGATAAGCAATTATATAATAACACCTGTCATAAAACCCAAGCAGATTAGAAGGGCATACTTACATATATTATGGAAAGGACACCATTATAATTTTTAGTTGAAACATTCAGAACTATTTTCAGTTGTGACACAAGCACTTGAAAAGCAGCTGCAGTTGTGAATCCCCCAACTAATGGATCTGCAAGGTACCTCACAATGAAACCAATCTGGAGAACTCCAAATATAACCTGGAAAAATTATGAAGAATAACAGCTTGTTAAATAACAAAATGGTACACTTTTATTTGGAGATTTCTTACACTTTGTTTTCTCTCTTTGTTGATGCAGAGTCTTAGGACCATATTTCCCCCATTTCAGCTTAGTGTAGCTTAGTATTGTCCATCCAAGGAAATAAAGGAGACCTGAAGCAATGTGTGAAAGGAAGCCCCAGGATATGCACCATTGTACTCAGTTTCATGCAGGTCTTCTGGTCTGCAAGGCAGGGCTATTCTGCTCTCTGTGCTCCCAGTCATGCTGTCAGAGACTCCACACAGGATATGAAGCTCTTAAAAGTTTGTGATAACTTTCCTTCATTTTTGTATCTTACTACAGGAAAATATCTGACTGCTGTAGTAGGCATTTTTCTGCCATTAACATTAAAGCAGTGTCAAACTTGTGTCTTCAAGTCAACTATTTTACCTGTAAAATTCCAACCAGGAATGTGAGAGTGCTTGCAATCAGCACTCTCTGTGCATCTCTGGACTCAGTGTCTATCAGTGCCCCTGTGACATTAGTCCCTGTAGCATTACTGCCTTCTATGAGAAAATTCTCATCTGGGGCCATGCTCAATACAACAGATCCCACCATCAAACTGACCACTGGGAATGGACCTGTAATGACAAACAGAGCACACTGAACTTTAACACACATTGAGAAAAACCAACATTTATCAGACTAGACAACCCTACGTCAAAAAAATCATGTAATATTGTAATTGGGGTACATTGGTAGTATTAGGGGGCCAAGAGCCACAGGCACTGCATACATGAGACAAAAATACTGCACCTTCTTTAAATACTGCTCCTTCTTTAAATAACTTGTGTTGTACATACCGATACAAGTGCAGTTTCATGCTTTCCTTGAGCCAATTTAGGGCTGTACTGAGGCCAAAAGTGGCAACATGTTCAACACACTCCAACTATCTCCCTTGTATCTGCATCATAACCAGACAATACAGATAACTGATCCAGGTGAAAGCAACATTTATTTCTTTGAATTTTAGGGTTTCTTTGTTTGCTTGTGATTTTTTTCTTGGTTGGTTTTTTGATTTTTTTGTCATGGTTAGTTTTCAGCTGATCCAGCACGCCACATGAGCAGGGTTCCCAACAATACACATGTGGCAGGAACATGTTCCAATGGGTAGGACTACATCTTTTGGCAGTATTGTGCTATTATATTGGCTAAAGATGACTGAAACTATACTTTGGGCAAAATACAGAGAAAGTGATCATTGTGTCAGCAAAACACAATCTAAAAGTAATCGTATTTGTTGCAGTTATTTACTAAAATTATGCAGAAAAGGAAAATGTCACAAAATGTCTTAAAGAAGGTTAAGTTAATTTTATAGATACCTTAAAGGACACTTCATGAATAAGAGCATTGGGAAAAGCATAAAAAAAGGAATGTTTGATAATCTAGAAAGTAGGAATGCCACCATAAGTTGACATAACAAGTCAGATCTGGATAGCAAATGTAAGCTGCTTGGTAGGGTAGGAAGAGGCTAACAAAGTTGAGAAAGACTTTTGACATACAAAGACTTTTGATGCAGCAGAGAAGAAAGCTGATGAAAAAGTGTAGTATCATGCCAAAGCTCTGGGAGGGGAAAACAATGTGTTCTTGGTAGATAGGAACAAGAAAAGATTAGATTTTACTAGAATGAAGAAAAAGGCACTTCAGTGATCAAGCTGTAAGAAGAATTTTAAGTGTGAGAACTGACAGGAAACAAACCTCATATTCTAAAGAAAGTATTCAGAAAGAATCAACAGAGTTTACCCATAGCCTTGATGTGAGGCCCTACAGTGAGGCTGGAGTGGATACACAAGTTCTGGGTCTCCATGACAGGCAAGAAGATACTGTCCACAGTAATGAAAAAAGGATGCAGAAAATAAGGCTTGTAGAGAAGACTGAAACAGCTCTGTTTTAGCCATCTTGAGCTTTAGCTGATAGACAAAATGTTTGTCATTCATACTGCCTACTGAGGCCTTGAGCTTGTAATTTCTTGCATAGAGTGTAGCCAAAGACAAGATTTAAACTTCAGCACAAATTCAAGCAAAAAGCAGTGGCATACCTAAAGTTAGCTATTATGAACAATTGCCTGTATAAAGAAGAAATAAGCCTTAATTTCCCGAGATCCACCAATGTTAATATTCACCATAGCCAATTTGTTTCAGAAAGTAGTTATATTGTATGAAATATGAATGTCTGCAGTAAGGATTAACACTGAAATAGATAATTCACTGTAACTTGAACACATGCAGTTACCAACTGAGATGTGCCTTGATGTTCCCAGGAAAAAGTATGTCAGGATGGGGAAAAAAGCAGAATAGAGACCAAATCCAACAGGGACTGCAACCAGCAAAGCATATGCCAAACCTGAAATGATAGATCATCAAAATCATATTTAAAATCTCTCAGCAATCTACTATCTTGTCTAGATTAGACTTTCAGAAAGATTTACTGCTGTGGTGCAGATGCAATTTAGAATATGTTTTGTCTTGTAAGTCAGTCGCAGGCACACCTGTGAGTGAGTATCAATGACTGTAATTGACTGTACATCCCATGCTGGTAGCTGAGTACTGAAAGATGTTCCCATGTTTGCATAGGGAGCCCAATACACAGGCTGAGACAGAAACCCAAGTGGATAACATTGCTGTAAGTGTGTGCTTCTTAAAAGAAAAGGAGGATGTGTGAAGGTTCTAGTTTCAGACAGAAATTTCAAGCACAAGTCTCTGAGTTATTGCACAACAAATACACTTCAGTATCTTCAGCTCTTGTGAAAACAGAGCCACTTCTTTTCCCAGTAAAAACTAATCTATCAATAGCAAGTCACATAAATTTGAGAGTCTTGGTTCTTCTTCCTTCGCATACCTGTGCAAGCTGTCAAATACAGCAAGCAATAAAAAAAAACTGCTTTCAAAATCATATCCCAGTTAGCCAGAGTTCTCCTTCAAAGATTCTCCAAAACCTGTAAGAGAATGACAAGTCCTGAAGTGCTGGTCATACTACTGAGGCTGACTGAAGGACTGCAAGCAACACATTTAATTGCTGGGAATTAGGGACTTCAGGGACCTCAAGATCCCAACATTTTTTTGCAAATATTTTGGCCAATTTTTCCTGTAATTCATGTTCTAAAATTTCAGGGTGTTTTTTTTTTTTTTAATTATAGCTAGGTGTAGATTTGCATTAATTTGGGTTTTTTCAATTTTTTTCTACTTTTTTTTTTTAATGCACAGGTGGGAGACCAGACAGTGTATTTAAAAATTGGCTTTACAAGTAGATTCTATTTAGAGTAAAATAAGAGCACTGAAAAAAAAATAAGGAGGTTATAGTATGAGCACAAGAGGTGCTATAAGTAATATGAAAGTTCTATCTAGCCCTTCATTTTAAAAAGGCACAGAGATCCTGTAACTGTGCCATTACCTTCAGCAAGGATCTTCCAGCTCTGACACTCTTCTTTGGGAAAGAATCACTTTCTTTATTTCTCAGGTCAGCCCCAGCCTGGGGCAGAAGTTTGTAATGCTTTTTTCCTGCCAGTCTCTGCCTTCCTAGCATGCTCCAAGGGAACAGACAGGAGAGAATACTTGTGTCTAATCGGGAATGCGTAAACTGCTTTCTTTGTTCCCATGTAAATCTTTGTCCTCTTCCGCAAACACTGAGTTTCCATTGAGGGAAAGTGTGGGGTTCACACAGCTAGTTTTGCCTGCTGCAGTCCCGAAAAAAAAATTAAAATAGTGTAAGAACTTTACTGAGATTAAATTACTGGATGTATCAGGGTTATAGTCAGTCTTGTCTTAGGCGGATGCTGCCTCAGGCAGGTTGGTTCTGCCCTCTGAGTCTTCCTTAAGTAGCTTATTTGAACTAATATCTGCTTATTTCTAACACTTTCCTATTTTTTTCATCTACCGAAAGCTTTACTAACAAATGGAATAAGGAAGTAAGGAAAACTTAATATTGCAAGCCATGTACTCTAAATATCCATAAAGTTTATTTTTTTTAAAAATCTGAATACATCACCACCTCCTTCATGGTTGTCTTCTGCAGAGACCTGAACAACCTTATGTGAAAACTTTTAAAGAGGATTAGATATTAAGGGTGCATTATTTTAGGGGAATAACTAGATTTTTGTAGGCAGTTGCAGAAGAACTATAGGCTTAGACAACCAAGAAAGAGAAATAAGACCACACAACCTATCTGATTTATCACAATGTAATTAAAATTTTAAATATCAAAATAAATACTCTTTGAGTAAAATGCCTGGAAAAAAAAGTTAAATACATCCTTGTAGCACATCACAGGAAATTTAAATCTTCTAGCCAAGGAAAGAAAAAGGAATAAATTAAAACCATAAATTATTTATTGCAAAATAATACCGAATATCTAGTATTAAATAACAAGCCTCAGATTTGTAATTCCATCTGCAAAACGTTCCGGTGTTCAGCCGGCTCCCGTATGGGGACGCCCCGGGGAGCGGAGCGCGGGCTTGCCTGGCTTTACCTTGCAGGGTGGCGACGAGGCCGGTGCTGAGCCCCGAGATGATGTCGCTGATCAGCCACTCTTTCACCCGGTAGTTGGGCAGCCACTCCAGGATGGGCAGAAAGGACTTGGCAATCTGAAAGGCCCTTTTCCTTGAACATCTGCGAGAAAACAAGTGATGAACACACCCCACGGAGCCGCAATTGGAGCGCCCCAAGAACCCCAAAGTGACGGAGAGCTGAGCTGATGCACATTTAAATTTAAGGGGCAGTGGCTGTCACAGCCCTGTCTGCCAGACTGGGACGGGGCACGTAGTGGTGTAAAAAGCGCGCCCTGGGCAGTGCGATACGCAGGGGAGCAGGGATGTGTCGGCGTGTGGGGCAGGGGAGCAGGGATGTGTCCGGCGTGAGGGGCAGGGGAGCAGGGATGTGTCCGGCGTGTGGGGCAGGGGAGCAGGGATGTGTCCGGCGTGAGGGGCTCTCCATGCCTCGGCGGGTGGAGTTTGCGGGCGCCGGGACAGCGCGCCCCCGGCTCCCTCCCGCCGCCCGGACCCACCTGCAGGCCGCCTGCGCCCGCTCGCGGAGCGTGGGCGGCAGCGGCGGCTGCCGCTCGTTCTCCTCCTGGAAGCCGGGCTCGCTGTAGATGGGCCGCGCCACCACGTAGTGGCTGAGCTCGGCCAGCGGCTCGCTCGCCCGCCCGCCCGCGGCCATGGCCCCGCCTGAGCCGGCGAGCGCGGCCCCCCCCTGCCGGCCCCGCTGCCGCGCCCGCGGCCCCGCAGCGCTGTCCGCGTCCTGAACCGCGGCTCTGCCTGCGCCCGCTCCCCGGCCTGGGGCAGGGCGAGGAGGCCCCGCCGCAGCCGCATTTATACGGCCGCCCACGGCCCGACGCTTTATTTACGGGGAAACAGAGAGACCCGGCTCCGGGCCGGCCCGGGCGACGCCTCCGTGCGCCCTCCCCCCGGTGCCCCCTGGTCAGCCCCGCTCCGGCCGGCGCTCCCAAGCGACCGCCCCGACAGCGCCCGTGCCCTCGGGCGGGGGCTGCACTTCAAAGGCGGCGGCCCGCGGGAATGGCTCCGGGGGTGCGGAGCGGGGCTGGCCGCACGCACACGAACCCGCCGGCAGGTGATGATGGCCTCGGCCCCTCAGCAGCTGCCCCCCAGAGCCACCTGCCCGCCGGCGGCCGCCGAAGTGCTCGTTGTTAAAGCGAGCCTGGGGGACTGAGATAGGACCGGCCACTCTCGCACACTGCTTGGCCCGCACGGAAGCCTCCTTGGAGTTCCCAAAGCCTTGCTGTGTCCCACGACCCAAGGTTTGGGAGTCGTCTCCATGCATAGATGTAAATGCCTAACAAACAGCACCTTCTCTCCAAACCACCCCGACCTTACGCTGCAGCCTCGGTGGGAAGAAGTGGCTCAGGCCCCACAGGCTTTTTGTGCCACACCTGAAAGGAGAGAAGGCAGCCCAGGGCTGCAGCTTCTGGTTTGCTGGAGGAGGCTTGCAGGGAATGAGCTCCATGATGGCCCTGCTGTAATTTAGGATTACAGATAGGACTGGGGCTGAAAAAATCAATCCTGCATGCTGAATACTGCTGGCTACATTTCAGCTCTTCTACCTTATGTATGGAAGACAACCTAGCACAGATCTTGCAGGAGTGAAGCAAAGCACGTGTCCTTCTCACCTAGGAAACTTCCTGAAGTAAGAATCAGTGCCAGTGTTTCAGCCAACACCAAAGAGGTGCTCAGGGCATACACTGAGGGTACAGCATCAAGCAAAGTATTTGTTCAATGACCTACTCAGGCACGGAGTTGGTTTCAAAGCAATGAAGTACAGTCCTAACTTCATTTTAGTAAGTGTTCCATTTAGTAAGTGTTCCATTACTAAAATGGAAATAAGCTATTTGCTGAAGTATTTTTGTAGGGTTAACATAATTCAGGCTTCCTAATTCTGCAACTGGCTTCCCCTCTGCTGCAGTGTAAGGAAATCTGGATAAACTGCTGAACTGTTTTGATCTGAGCAATGTTGTATCCAGCACTGAAGCAGACAGCCTCCCAAAACAAGTCCCAGCGTTTTGCAGACACCTGTAAGCATGGCACTCGAGTCAGTAAAAGCTGCCTTGATCCAGAGGAGCAAGGGAAGTGGTCTGATGTAAATGTTACTTAATCCAGGGTAGGAAACTTTCAGATTTTCTCATTAGCAGATAACAGTATGGGGAAAATAGGTGTCATATTGGAAAAGACATATTAGACATATTCTAAAGCACATACTGAAAACTGAGCTGGCATCAAACCTGAGTAATGTGGTATATTAGAATCCACTCCAGATAAAAATGGAGCACCATGAAAAGTAGTTTTGAAAATTAACTTTAAAAAGCTGTTGTAGTAACATCATCTTAGTTCTGAAATGAATACAAGTTAGTATGAATTAGTTAATAAATATTTAGTTCTAAATTAGTTAATAAATACTTAGCTCTAAAAGCAATACAATTAATACAATACAAAGACAACGAAATTACTCTAGCAGGTATAATGGCTTCTAGGCTAATCATAGAAGCAAAGAGCAACAGCAAAATCATTTGCAGGAACCCAATGTAGATGCCCTACACTTCCCACATAAACTCAAGTTTTCAGGACTGGCGGCGTATTACATATTATTTTCTCCTAGAACATCCACAAAACTACATTTATCTTATTACTTATATAACTAGGATTTGAGAGGAGAAGTACTTGGTATCAAGAGGAAAAGACCTACTACGGAACAAGTAATTAACACAGGAAGGGTACAGAAGAAGCTGAATTGACTGTAACTCACAATCCTTGCAAATTTCTTTCCTGCAGCACATCTGTCTGAACAGTACTCCAAGCTTCAGCACCTCAGGTGATGCTTTGTGGTAGGAGCACCTGCAGATCTTGTTTAGATGAGAACTCTGTAGGACCATGAATCTTGGCAGGGCAGAAGTATGCAAGTTCGAGGACAAGAGCTTTCAAGAAAAAAAGATTATCTCTATCTGTGTAACACAATGCATTTACCAGAATTTGAAGACAATTATTGGAGAAGAAGCTAAAGACTCTAAACCCTAGCTCAGAATCGATCCCCTACACAGAGACACATCTGTGTCAAATCAGCTGCAACGTGTTTCTGAACTGTGATGTTGCTGACCCCACTCAGGATGCATCTCCTTTCCTTTTACCTTTCAAGCCAGAAGGCAGGCTCTTAGTTTTTCATTTTTTAACTTCAGCTTTTTTATTTGGTTGGTTGTTCTTTTGTTTGTTTTGGTTGGGTTGGTTTTTTTTGGTTTTTTTTTTTTTTTTTGGTGGAGGGTCTTCTGTTATTTTTTGGGGGGAAGGGTGTTCAGGTGCTTTTTAGCTTAAAATCTGCATCAGTCTTCTGAATCTTTTTGTTTACCTTATTATTTGTTATTATTTTCTAATTAGTTCATGTTCACTTTGTACTTGGTATGAAACAAACAACCTAGGACAGATACACAGCCTGTTTCCAAGACCTCTACTTCACTGTATGCTCTGTTTCCTTAGACCTCTAATGCCCAAGTCATGTCTGGAGAAGAATCAAAGCCTAAGATTTTGTCCTTACTGGCCAAGAATAACAGTTCCTCTCTTCCTTCCTCTCACATTGTCTATTCCATACACTGTTAAACTCACAAAGAAAGGAGTAGTTTAGCACCTTCTTCTTCCATAGTCACAGGAACAGGGATTTAAACCTCATGCTTAGTAAGATGTAGCATATGGTCTCACCACCTAGGTGAGAAGTTATTACACTATCTGCAAAACACAATTATCACCAAACCTATTGCCTCTTCTGGCTGTGTTTTCAAAAACAAGAACAAATCAAATCAGGCTACACACACAGCCTGACCTCAAGGAGCAGGATAAAGGGTTAAAGCAAGAGCTATTTATGTTAAGGGTCTTGCCGACATGCTTTTATGACAGCAGTAATTGGTGTCCAATTTCCAGACAAAATTTCAAATTTCAAATTTTTCAAATTTCATTTGAATGATCCTTCCCAAATTCATGTTCCCTGGTAGTTGGTTTGGGCATCTCCTTCCTTCCAACAGACACACTAAAACTAGTATCTAACTTGTGCTAGTCACTAAACATAGAGGGGAGGTTCCCACTCGCTAAACCCTGGTGCACCCAAGTATATTTGAGAACCCGAACATCTCAGATGTGCTTCATGCAGACCAAAACCACCGCCAGGGAATCTTTTAGCATGTATAGTCCTGGGCTGTATAGCCTGCTTCCCTCTCTGCTCAGCTCTCCCAAAGCTAGAGACAGAAGAGCAAAATCTTTTCTGGGCACTTGCCCTCGCAGGCAGTACAAAAACTTCCTTTGGACCACAGCTACATTTCAGAGTGGACACAAAACTAGAGGGACTCTTGTTTTCCTCACAAACACACCTTGCAATGCTTGTCCCTATTTGTACATTACCTTATAAACAAAGCACAAGTGTTACATTTTATAACAGAAAATAAAACATACCCTATTATTCCTGAACTGAGGATGCTCAGTTCTAGAACTAGATTTTCAGACATTCCACAATTAATGCACACAGCAATACACAGCACAGAGTACTGAAGGACAGGAATGACATAACTGAGAGCTGATTTTCCAACTTATCTGTAAAATGACTTGTATTAGGTTGTAGTAGGAGCCAGATTATAGCTGACAGGGGGATAAACACTGTCCAAAGGCATGGCAAAATGAGGGCTTCTGTCCCAAAGAGTAAATTCAGATTTTCAAGGAATACTTGAGAACTGAGGCAGCCATGTAGTACTTTTACAGTAACTTCACATTTGGAAAAACAAATGTTATTTCAATGCTGAGAGAAAAGCTGAGTTTTCACCCTTTACAAGAAGCTAGGAAAGCACAGTGTCTTTTCAATGAGGCTATGTAGCCAGGGACTACTGTGGCAGCAAACACACAGGGAGTGCTAATGCAAGGCTACATTTTCAGAAAAGACTCTGCACAATTTATGTTATCAAGGAAGATGTATTTTTGCACGTTTGTTGCAAAAATAAAAACAGGGAAAAACATCCTGCCTAGCTACAGGTGCTTTCATTTAAGGTAACACCAAAGCATGCAGCCAGGTCTATTAATATTCAGGTCAGCTCTCATGCACCCACCATGACCTCACTGCTTTCTTGACTCAGCAGAAAAAGGGGTTTATGAAAAAAATATGGAAACACCCCTCAAGTTTTTTTGAAAACTACTGTCAGTTAAACCTGTGCAAATATTTTTAGAACAATCTCTCCCATGCTTCCTCACCGAAGTACAGAAAATGCACATTTGTACTTTTGTGAAGAGGGAAAAAAGGCAGTGAAACAACCAGGCAATTACTTTGACATTATTTAGAGTATAAAGAGCTCCAAATTCTTACTTTTGGAGACATACTCAGAATAAATTAACTGTCCAACATCAGTACAAAAGTTATTTTGATTCCACCAGTATTAGCAGAGATTTAACTTTTTTCCACTTCTTTCCCACAACACAGACACGTGTGACCAAAATGTGACCCAACAGCCTGAAAGATCAGGAAATAAAAGCAAGAAATTTTGATTCATTCTTTCCTTGTATATCAACCATAACTTAAAACAATACCAGTGAGTGAACCTAAAGTTGATCAAGCCAGAATCTCACAAGCCCTGAAAGCATATCATGTGAAACAATGCAAATGCAAAGTATTCACAAGGATTTGCC